ATTTCCTCTTTGTTTTATGTCCAGGGTTGCAGGCGAATCAGTGCAGCTTCTCCTCTCCACGCTGGCAGATATAAGTGGTGCTGAACTGGCATGCCTTGTGGGCAATTGTTGGTAATCGGCCATTTTCAGGTGCATGCCACTTAGCCGAGGCGTGCTATTCAAGTGCATGCCAGGTTGGGATCTACTCAGCAATAGCTCTCTCTCGACACCAAAATAGTGTTCACACAGGGAACATCGGTTCGTCGACAATGCTTCTGCAAGATCCTGTTTTTCAGCTAACTTACTGCACAGAAGGTCCAAGACATTCCATTGTTTGTTCCAAGGGTGTTAAGATTGCAACGCGACATCTAAGAAGGCATCGAAAATATACAGCGGGTGCATTTCAAGGCTTCAAGTACAGATACAAGGAAGTTACTCGACGGAATGTTTTCAGATTAACAGCCTTTGCAGCACTTCAACGGCTCTCAAGGCAGCATCACACGCTTTTTGAAAGCAAAGCATCTCACTGTCTTTCGGCAATGGAATCTACGCCAGAGGAGTACCAAGATTTACCTATTTTAACCATAGCTCATGAAGTCTTCGAAGTTGAAGATTTTAAAAAAACCACGATGCTGGACGACGGGAATGAAAAGCAACCAGTTTTGGGAGTTCTTCAGGGTGTTCTACCTACAAACTCAAATGATACAGGCGAGAAGGTTCAAGATTTCTTTCTGCTACTGGAAGACGTCACGTCGGTTGATACGAGGCTAATTTCTAATGATTTTCAAGTTTCGGGAAGCCTTTCCCATGGCAACCTGGGTGATTTGCTCAGAGGAGAAGTACTCATGACTGTTGAAGCAGAAGCGGCAGCAGCCTTCTTCACAGCGAGGCGTCAGAAACCACACAGAAGACTTCATACAAGGTCTCCAAGGCTAGCTTACCAGAGGAAAACTGCTGTTATTACCACTCACCGATTCCATGGCAAAACAGCGGCTGCTGTAAGTACACTCAACAACCCTCAGCAAGACAAGTTCAGATGGAACCACCTTCAGTTGCAGCAAATCAGCAGAACAAGGAAGATTTTAAATAGGCGAGATAAGTGTTTTAGGTACTTGGTTTATAAACCTCCATAGAGAATTGCGAGGGCACGGTACATTGTGCCTAAGCCCTACAAGGGCACGGCACATTGACCTAAGCCCTCCCTAATCGGTTACGACCGTGGTGTTTCGCACTGTATAATCGCTATGTATAGTGCTTTTTCACCTAAAAAAAAAAAAAAACACTATTATCAGGTTAAACAATGTCTCCTGTAACTTCACACTCTTTTCAAGATTCGATTCAAATTGGCACTAAAGGTCAGAAATAGATGCAATTTCGGGTACGCAAATTGGAATCGGGATGGTTGGCTCTCGATGCTGCATTTTCTGACGTCACTCAGTGCAATGATTGCATTTCTGCCCAATTTCTACGCGAATTTCTGCTTCGCACCAACACTTCTTGAACGAATCTAATGCTAGATCCGTTGTACTGTTTACGCAGATGACGGTCGCTGCGCATGGCAAATCAGCAAACCCTTCGTGAGTGTTTGTAATTTTTTCCTCTACCAAAATTAAAGTTTTGCCGTACATGTATATTGAAACAAGTGGTATACCATGGCGTTAATTACGTGTCATTAAATACACATGTAACGTATGATATATCCTTAATAACGGTAGGGTTAATTCCCTCTAACACTCGGGCATGTTTCTCGTGTTTCGGATTACCCTTTCCAAGTAACGCACGTCCCACTAGGGTTTGCTGATTTGACCCGCGAAGCCTCCGCCACCTGCGCCAATAGTACACACGATTTAGCATTACAATTCGTTCAAAAAGAGTTGGTGCGAAGCAAAGAGTTGCGCAGAAATTGGGCAGAAAAGCAATCATTGCACTGAGTGACGTCAGAAAATGCAGCATCGAGAGCCAACCATTCCGATTCCGATTTGCGTAGCCCGAAATTGAAGCTATTTCAGACCTTTAATGCCAATTTGAATGGAATCTTGAAAAGGGTATGACGTTACGGGAGACATTGTTTAACCTGATAATAGTGTACGCAACCTGGCATGCACCTGAATAGCGCGCCTCGACTAAGTGGCATGCACCTGAAAATGGCCGGTTGGTAATGGCTGCAGACCTGTCCGTGTGAGCAGGATGGTGTTCATCGGCTGCCACGTGTACAGGGCCTTTCGGCCCAATCAGATCTTTCCCTTGGGGCACTTCATCAGTACTGCCCCGCTGTTGGCTTCCTCACGGGGAGAAATATGACACACCACAGGCTCGGTTCGGCGGCAGTAGTGCGTCAGCCATGCCAACCAGGCAGGGCACAGAAACGGCGCTTTTGCCCAGACCAGCTTCCGTACCTGCCAGCTGCCTCGGGAGTCGGTAACGCGCGACGCGTATTCAAGTTTGCTCCAAAGCCTACTGAACAAATTCAAACCCCACAATGCCACTGTAGAACGGATAGCATCTTTCTGAGCCGCATTCCGACGAACTTTGGGCCACGCCCTCCATCCAGCAGAATTTGCTCCCGAAACTATGAGCTCCCAGTTTTGAGAATTTGGCGTGGATTTCCATATTTGCGTTCCTCCGAATTTCCTAGCATTCCTCAAGAAGCGACGTCGCCAGTCGTATGGTAGCAAAAGGAGAACAGGCCGTCAAGGAGCTTATGATTTCCAGTGATTGAGATGGGTGGCGAAAGTGAAACGGCGGGTCAGGAACAACGAGAACCAGGCGACATGGACTCCATCCGACCAGGCGATATATCGGATATAGAGATCGTTTTCCATCCTGCTGCCCGACACGAACTTGTCGGTGCGGGCCAACATCCGCGATACACGCTGACGCGGCAACCTGCGCGTGCAGCTGATTTCACACACCAGCAGCATCTTAATACCGCTACCACTACCACTGCTAATTTCAGAGCACTTGGGTTCTTTCCGGTAATCCTGGCCACGAATCGTCTCTTTGTCTTGAGATCACGTCGGCGCCGCCGCCGGCACCACAGCCACCGCCGCCGTCGTCGCGATCCAGTCGCATCGTTACCAGACGTCGCGAAGATGGCGGCGACGTTTCGCGAAATTCGCGAGGAGACGGTTGAGCTAAGGGGATTTGGCTCCAGCGTCGGCGTCGGCGCCGAAATCGGCATCGGAATTGGCGGCGGCGGCGGCATAGGCGGCAGTGTGGGCAGCGGCGGCAGCAACCTGTGTGTATGCAATGGCGGCTCCCCCGCGGCAGCCTGCCCGCGGATCGATTTACACCAGCAAGTCTGCACGACAGCGGGGGATCGTGGCGCGCAGGGGGACGCTGCGCGGATCTTTGCGGATCCAGGGCGGTCAGGGCCGTCGAATCCGCCGGATGGGGAATCACAGCCGTCCGGGATGCCAGCCGGTGTTGACAAGGGGTTAGGGCGGGAAGGGGGCGCAGAGGCAGAGGCAGGGACAGGGGCGAGAGCAGGGGCAGGCGCAGATGGCGCGGCAGAAAGAGGAGCGGCAATGCGAGATGTTGAGGACAGGCTGAAGTCGTACCTTGATTTGGTGAGTGCTCTTCAAAGAACGCCAGAATGGGAGCTTATTGAGGGTGTTGGGGAAGATTGGCTAGAGGGTGGTACAGCTTCGCGGATCTTGGGTTCGATCTTTGGAGGTTCCAGTCATTCTGTTGTTCATTGCGAGCACGTTCTCAAGTCTCCTCAAGTCTCCTCAACTCTCCTCAAGTCTCCTCAAGTCTCGTCAAGTCTCCCCGCACGTGTGAATATCCTCTGTCGCCTCTTGCTTCCCTCTCCTTCGGCTGATGGTTGTCCCATCTCTCCCTACCTTCCTACATCTACCCCCTTCGCTCATGTTACCGCGTCCCCCCTCCCCGTCCCACAGAGGGAAGCGCGGTCATCACCTCACACGGATGCCCACACCTGCGTGTCCGCTCCCTATCTCTCCCACCTTCCGCTATCCACTCTCATCGCCATCGCCTCCTCCCTCCTCTCACACCTCTCCCTCATACACCATCTCAACCACCCTCTCCCCTCTCCCCTCTCCGATCCCCTTTGCCCCAACCTCCTCTCTCCCCCTTTACTCCCCTCCTCCCTCTCCTCTTCCAGCCCCTCCTCCCTCCCCTCAACAATTGCCACCATCCCCTCTCTACTCCACTCCCTCCGCTCCTCCATCCCTCTCCCCTCTCTCCGCCAACTCTACTCCATCCCTCTCCTCCCCCCGCCTCCCCCTTCCCCTCCTCCCTCCCTCTCCCCTCCCTCCTCGCCCTCCTTCCTCTCCCATCACTCCCTCCACCTCCTCCTCGCCCTTCGTCCTACTAAGGTTAACAAACCCGGGAAAATCCCTTCAGCTGCTTCAGCCTCTGAAGCAGCATCACGGTTATCTGCTTCCAGCTGCTGCAGCGCCTCTGATCGCAGCAGCACAGGCAGCAGTGACAACGACAGCAGCAGCGGTGTTGGTGGCAGCGGTACAGACAGGGACAGTTGCAGCAGCAGCGGCAGGGAGAAAGAAGAGTGCAGCAGCAGCCCCTTTCTTGGGCTGCGCTACCGTTGGGACTGGAGTACACAGAACACTGGGAGCACTCGGAACACCAGCAGGGACAACAGCAAGCAAAATTCCAGCAGTGGGAAATGCAGCAGTGGGAGAGACAGCAGGATGAGAGTAGTCCCAAAGCTGGCTGGTAGCTGCACAGTGGAGCTTCTAGACCTGCAGAAAGGCATTGGTGGGCTGGTGAAGCACGATGCTGTGCTTGCTGCTTCCCTTCCCCTCCCCGCTGCCTCTGCATCTCTCCATACCTCTCTCCGCCTAGGCTCCTGCTTCTCCCTCTCCCTGCCATTTGCCCTCGTCTCCTCCCACTCGCCGGGATTTTCCGCCTTGTTCGATCGCTCTCTCTGCTCACCTCCCTCCTCCTCTTCCTCAGCATCACCTGCGTTTTCCACGTCACCTGCATCATCACCCAGTCTAACAGCATCTGCCACCACCACTCTCTCCTTCGACCTGCCCTCACCCCTCCGGAATCTCCTCCTCCCGCTCGCCTCTCACCCGCTGCTCCGCCCATTGAACCTGCCCTCCCTGCATGCGCACGCGTTTGTTACCACCGCCACCAATAGCACCAGCAGCAGCAGTTGCAGCAGCAGCGGCGGCAGCAGCAGCAGCAGAGTTAAACCCCTGACGCTGCTATCTGGTCAAATTGGAATGGGGAATGGGGTGGGGTTTGGGAGGACCATGGGCGGAGGTGGAAGAGGTTGGGCAAGTGGTGGGATGTGGAGAGGGGTGATGGGGGGTGGAGGCCTCGGAGGAGACGGGAGTGTGAGTGTGCGAGGAGAGGATAAGGGATGGGTGGGAGGGAAACAGCCGATTGAATTTGTCAAAACGCGGTCGAGGGGGGTTGCTTTGAATTTTGTAAGGCAGCTTATAGAGGGTATCCAGTGTTCTGGTGGAGTAGGATTGGTGTGTCCTACATCGTTCGGGAGGGTTGAGGTGAATTACTGCTGGCCCCTTTGTATGAATTTAGAAGAGAGCTCTGTGAAGCGTGGACTACAGATAATATTCAACTCGAGTGCTGCTTGAGTTACCATATATTTTGTTCCTTTGAAATATGGTACGGCAATTGATGCTGTAGTGAACTACTACCGGTAGTAGAATAAATGGAACGGAACATCAATACCTGACCATGGCTATACACTAGAATCATGCATCCAATAAGTAATGAGCAATCTATGGAAGTGCATCAAGCAACTTAGGTACCACACCATGCCTAGGACTGCATAAGTTAGAAATATGTTAGCTACAGTTAGGGACATAACTAGACGGTTACGGGCTCACAGCCTCGCAACGAGGAACGGTTCTAGTAGCACCACACGCCCTCGATGTCTGGTTGGTCTGGCGCGGTTTTCGCTATAATCACAAGCAGCATATCCGATGGCAATCCTGCAAGGAGCACTCCCAGTAGGGGAGAAGCTTGAGCCCGTTTGTGCCTGACAGGCAGACCCTGCGAGAGAATGGATAAGTTTGTTAGCACGTGCACCGTGAAATGTTGAGCCCATTGGATCGCATAATGATTTGGGTTACGAGGACTGGGAGTGCTATGTAGTACAAAATCAGCTTATTGTGCCGTAAGCTGGCGTCACATCCGGTCGTCTCGTCTCACCTGTGCGTGCTGCTGCTTCGTTAATCTGTTGCAGCAGAGGAGCAACTTAGCCACGAACCCTCTGAATTCAATCGGGAACCGGTAGTGCGATGCCGTTGTCCACGGAAGCAGCTCCGGGCGCTTGATAATCATCTCGCTCCGTGACGAATCCTGCGGAAAAGCCAACTGTGGCAAACCCGAAAGTGGAATATAGTGGAGGACGCTTAAAGAACTAAGTTATACCGCGTTCGCAGGAGGGAGGTGGGAAGGGAGGACAATATAGGTGAATTTCGGACATTTAATTTCTACGAAAAATGCGGCGATTACGAAGAACGAGTGGAAAACTTAATATTAGCGAGCACAGGTGTAGACGAATGAAATGAAGTATTGTTCCGGGGAAACTTGTTTCGTACAGCTCTCTTGCCGACGACGAATGGCTCGTTCGTCGCCATGTCGCGAAACACCCACGGGTGCTGCACGAACGACCGCTGCCTGTACACGCGGCCCGGCTGTAAACACTCGTACGGAACCTGCGCGGCGAAAGCAAAGGCAATGCGACGGGAGAAACGGAATGCATGGAGGAAGAAATACGGGCGTTTATGAATCATATGGGTAACAACGCCGCGTCGGACGCGCGAAAGCGTATGGTGCGCCGCACGAACCGCGCGTATGGATTAACGAAAGAAAAACGACGGACTGAAACGGACCTCCTTTCCGTCGTAGTCGACCCAGTACGGTTGCACAGCAGTGTCGGTCGCATTTCTGAAAGTGATCACCGTCGGCTTCGTACTCGGTCCCGAGCACACCGGCCAGACAACCGGCCGCCGGCGAAAATGGCCAGCGCTGCTGCCGGCTTCAGTTTGAAAATCCCGCGCCTCGACATTCGGAGGGTAAGTCCCAGCGGCTTGATCAGGAACAAATGTCGGCCCTTCTTCACCGAAGGGACGGTTGGTTGAGGTGGTGCGGTTCCCTGGAAAGTTGACTCGGCCTTCCGGGGGGTAGGAGACGGCGAGCGGGATTGCCTCGAATAGGTCGGCCTCCATAGCCTCCTGGCCTTCGAACGGTCGTCGGCCTCTCAGAACGGCTATTACGGAGCGGAGAGCATGGAATAGGTTCATCTCCTCGTGGTGGACTCTTCTACGCAGTGCGAAACGTCGCGCACGTCCCTCCAGAGTGACTGCTGACTGCTGTCACAGCTTCACGGGCAAAACCAGGAAATCGCGCAAGTGCTAGTAATACGATGTACGAGTTTGGACGACCTGTTTCATGCCTAGACGTTATGCGCGTCTATTCTTTATACGCCATCTATACACCGGCCCGTCTCGCCTTGACGCCATCGCAGTGGGTAGGAGGAGCACGGAGATTGAGATTCTAGCCCCGACGATGTCGGGACTCGTTTGCGCGAACTTCATTGGGGCGGATGTGCGTGGCGTGATAGACGCGGCTAGTCAACCAAGACGAGGGATCCGGGCTAGGCTGGGGAACGGGGGGAACAAGTCTATTGATACTGTACTGTACAGTTCCTAAACGGAACGAGCGTGGTGTGGTCCTTACGTGAGCCGAGCGTGTTTGCTAGAGGGCCGCTAGTCCCGCTGGATGATGAGGAGGAGGCTGGTTTCTCGCTCGGGCCGAGCGTATTTGCGTGGCTAGTCGAAACCAGGCAGATTGCGGGCCGAACTTGGAGGGGCAAAGTTGTGACGGAGGCTCGGAACGGTAGGGAGGTTTTTGAAGAAATTTGTCTGGCACTGACGTTCAAGGGTGTACGGCTCCGCACCAGGTCTGGTTTGCAGCCATTGTTGTTGTGCCGGATACAACAACACGCGAGCCAGTGGTAAGCCAGAAATAAGCGTTTCAGAGTGTTTTGAAACGGCATAATTCGCTTTCCCTAAAAGAACATTTGCAGTAGCAGACAATACAAAAGATGTGAATTCCAAGCTACTAGGTGCAGCTCAGGTGTACCGTATGTACCTACTCTTCTCATTGAAGCAATGTGTTGCCTTGGAGAGACCCTCAATTGTTTTGCCTCAAAGCAGTCATGGAATGAATTTGGCTTGTTGTTCAGTAAGCATTTGTTCCTTTGCTTAGTTTGCATCAAAGCCTTATCGCCGTTCCAGCCGCTCCTGTATGCCCTGTCCTTTGGCCTAAGCATTCTCAGACCCATTGTGACAAATCACTAACATGGAAGTTTCAGCAATTGGTTGGCAAGACATTGAAGAAGTGGTACACTTGCTCCATTGCATCAAACACACCAACCTCTGTCCCACACGTCTCACACATCACTGGATGCATCACCTCCTCTTCACCTCCTGCACTCCCCTCTCCCCCAATCACACCTCCCACGCCACCCCCACCAGTGCTCCCCTGCTCCTTTGCCCCTCCACTCTTCCCCCTGCCCTTTCGCTTCTTGCTGCCTCCGTCTTTACCTGACGGCATCACCAGTTTCTGGGACGTGTTCACTGCACAGTTGACTGCAAAGACTGCTCGGTACTGTGTGGTGAAGCGCTCGTGCCTGCAGGGATTCATGTGGAGCAGTGAAGGGAACGGAGTCAGGGAGAAAGATGATCACGCAGCAGGTGACAGTGTGCGAATAATCCAGGGCAGTTGAGCCAGTGGGGAGTGAGAGGGGGGAAATGAGTCGGGGAGGAGGATGGGAGGGAGGGTCGGGGAGGGGGTGAGGGGTTGCAATACTATGTGTGTGTGTGAACGAGAGAGAGAGAGAGAGAGAGAGAGAGAGAGAGAGAGAGAGAGAGAGGTGAAATGGATAAGGGGTTATAGATGCTGAAATGCATGTTACATATCCTCGTCCATGTGTGTACTTGCTCGGATCTAATACACGGATCAATTGAGAGAGAGAGAGAGAGAGGGAAAGGCAAGAAGCTGTAAGCAGCGCACAGTAGCTCTGTCTCACACACCTCTGGCAGTCAAAACAGACGGACGACAGGCAGGCAGGGCAGCTAAGAATGGCATCAGACCTCCGCCCTCCGCGGCGCCGCCGCGCCTTGGCCATCCACCGCTCGTCCCGGTCATCCATCTCCGCGTCATACCACGGGGGAGGCGAGGCGGGAGCCTCGGGGGAGTCTGAACCCGAAGAGGACGCCTCTGCCTGCTCTTCCTCACCCCCCGCCTCCCTGATTGTTTCACCCTCCATCTTATTGCCCTCCATACCCACATCGCTGCTTTCACTGCGCACACGACTCTCAGGAACATCTGCGGAGTCACTGCCACCACCGCGTTCCCGTGCGTTCAGTTCCCCCGCGTCTTCTGCCATGCGCGCGTGCGCGGACGAAGTCGGATTCATCGATTTGCCGCTTGCGCAATTCAGATTAGGGTTTTGACGATCTGGCTGCTGGCTGCTTGAACGCGTATCGATGGCAGGGAGCGACCTGGGATAATGGTGCCGTTAGCGAAGTAGTGTGGCTCGAACAAAAGCTGGTCAAATGATCTTGGATCAAACGATGACGGGATTAATGGGAGGAGCAGGCGAACATTGGCGATAGACGTGACGCCTCTGGGCCAGGAGAAATGATGCGTATTTGTAACCACGTCAGTGCACTCTTCTGCTGGGGAACTTCCATCTGGAAGTTGGAAAGTGGAATACATCCTGTTACCGTTTTCGTCAAGCTCGTCACGACGCAAATGTTGCTGTTTGCTGTTCGCCAATTCCAGCACTTCTCACGTTCCACCCCCAAAACGCCCCAGCCTCGCCCACACCCCCTTCCAAGCACGCAACAAAAGCCTTCCCTTCCCCACCCACCCCCCACGCCATCCCCCTCATCCGCCGCCACCTTCCATTCCCATTCCGCCTCCCCTTCCGTCACCGTTCCCCTCTTCCCCGTCTCTCCCCCTCGGCTCTCTCCCATCTCCCCTTCCCTGCGCCACCATGAAATCCACGATCGCATTTATTGAGAATATTCTGTACCCGCCAAAACGCCTCTCTCGATAACATAGATACTGCGTACAGACCTCCACTCCTCGGAAACAACAATACTATTCCATTCCACCTATTTCCCTCGTACTCCCAATCACCCCATTCCCCACAAAATCTTTCGTAAATGCCTCAGATGATCCCACCTTACCAATTTTATTCATCCAGTTCATTTGACACTGCCTGGACCAGATTCTGGATCAGATCAACGTCTCTCCTTCATCTCATCCCTCATCCCGGACGCGGGCCCCGCTGACCGCCGAGCGGTCTCAGCGCGCGGATCCTCCGCCTTCGCCGCTTGATCTCGTTCCTCCATTGTCTAGACTCTGCTGTTATAAAATCAAGTAGAGAAGGACGACGCAAGGAGTCCAGGAGTTTGCTTTACAGAGTGTGGGAAACTTTCGTACGCGCTATACAGCAGCAACAGCACGAGCAGGAGGAGGCATGGGGATCGAGGAGGAGCGATCGGGCGATTCCCACGCGAGAGACGAGGAGAATGAAGAGAAATCGACGATGCGAGTAGACGGAGGAGAAGAGAAAGCTGGTCAAGGTGACGGAGGGGACGTACACGCAGCATTAGACGCAGGGACGGACGAATCGCGCGTATCTGCGAGTGAGGAGAGCGGGAATGAGGGAAACCAGGCCGAGACCGGGGGGGAGGCGGAAGGTCCGGGTGACCGCGGGGATGACGCGGAGGAGGCTGCTGCGCCTGCTGCTGCCGTGGCGGGTGGTGGGGACGCGGAAGCGGAAGCGGAGGCTGAAGCGGAAGCGGGGGCGGAGGCGGAGGCGGAGGAGGTGGTGGCTGTGGTGGTGGAGGAAGCGGAGGGTGCGGATGAGAAAGGGGATGGGGAAGGGGAGGGGGGAGAGGGGGAAGAGCAGGCGGAGGAGCCGGCGGCGGAGGAGGAAGATGGGGAGGACGAGGACGAAGAGGAGGATGAGGATGAGGATGAGGAGGAGGGAGAGGAGGAAGAGGGGGCATCCGATGGAGGGAAGTCGGAAGGAGCGGCCGCGCCGGGCCGCCGCGCCGCTCCGCGCATGAGCCGCGAGGCGCGGAGTATCTACGAGCGGATCCGCGCGCGCCCGTGCCGCGTTGCGCGCGTGATCATCGCGGGGAACAAGCGCACGAAAGCGGCGATCATCTCCCGCATCATGGCGGGCGCGCTGGCGGAACTGGCGGAAGCGCAACCGGCGGAAGCGGAAGCGGAAGCGGCGGGCGGAAGCTTCGAGGATCTGCAGTCGGCGCTGCTGCGCGCCAATCGGGCGCTGCGCGGGCTGGGGGTGTTCGAAGATGTGACTATAGTGGTGGACGCGCTCCCCGGGGACCCGCCTGGCACGGCAATGGTTGTGATTAACGTGAAGGAAGATAGCGTGCTTGCCGCTAACGTCGGCACGTACCTGCAGGTGAGCGCGTGAGAAGGAGAGGGAGGGTGGACAACGTTGGAGGAAAGGGAAGGGGGAGATTTATCGGAAGTGAGTTGGGATGGGGGATGGAGGAGGGGGAGGGTGCGCGGGGGACTGGGGGAAGAGGGATTGGGGTAGGGGAGTGAGGATGACGGGTTATTGTGTGTGAGGGGAGTGTGGATGGGAATAGGGGGTGTGTGTTGTGTGCTATGAGCGGGAATGGGAGTGGAGCAGCGCTGAAGAGTGTGCCCCTTTCACAACCCCTCCCCTCCCCCTTCCCCGTGCCCTTTCTCCCTCCCTTTCCCCCTTCCTTCGTGCCTCTCCTCCGCTTTCCTTGTCCCCCTGCTTGTCCGCTTTTGCGCATTTATTCCCCTCCCGTTCCCTGAACTCTCCGTTTTCCCTTCCCGCCCCCTCTTCTTCCCTCCCTCTGTTTCCCTCCTCTCACTTCCCTCCCTTCTCTTCCCTCTCTCTCTCTTCTCTCACTGTCTTCCACATACCCGCACCCTCTCCCCCGTCAATCCCCTTTCTTCCCCCACCATGGCCTCTCCTCTCTCTCACCTCTCTGTCCCTCTCCCGCGCGCCCTCGCTATCTCCTCCCTCTTCCTTCCCTCTCTCAGAGGGACGGCCGCACCAGTGAGGCGCGCATAACCCTCAAGAACCTCCTCGGGTATGCCGAGTCGCTCGACGTCTCTCTCGGCGTGGGTCACGACGGTGCATCCTCCTCCGGCATCTCCTCCTGGTCCATCCTGCAGACTGCCGGCAACTCCTTCGCTCTCTCCCTCTCCTGCCCGCTCCTGCTCCTCCCGCCCTCTCTGCAATCCCTCCTCCCGTCCCCCTACTCCCACTCCTCCTCCTCTTCCTCCTCCTCCGGCCCGGCTGCTTCGCCTGCTTCTGACGCTCCTACGTCGTTTCCCTATGTGGAGATGCGGCTGTTCAAGTCCACCCGGTCTATGCTGCCCTACACCTCGCTCTCCCAGTGCCTACGTGGCGCCACGCTGGGCCTCCACGTCGGCAGGCACGAGCTGGCGTACGAGCTGACGTGGCGAGA